TACTCTGTGCCAGGAACTGCATTAAGTGCTTTACAAATAACTCATTTACACCTCATTTATGGTCCTACGAGGTTATTACACTATTTTATATCTATTTCAGAGATGAGGAAAATAAAGCACAGAGAAGTTGAATGATTTGCTCAAGGTCAAACAGCTAATAAGGGATGGAACAGAAATTTAAACCCAGGCAGTCTAGCTCGAGTCCATGTTCCCCTCCATTAGGTTGCCTCTCAAACTTTCACCAAATCCAAGCTGAGATGAACTGTGATTTGTGCAAGATCATCTTATACGTTTTTATAGCATTACTGTTTCAATAACTGACTTATCATTGTTATAGCTTCCTCAGAATCTCAAGGAGTACAAAGAAAGAAAAGATAAATACTATCAAATACTATGCTTCACCACTTTACGTTCTGTTAGAAGCAAAATGAAGTATAGAAGATAATGAAACAGTGTCTCATCTCTGTTGGGAAAGCTAGTCTGCTAGGAACTTGCTTGGATGTTTAAATTCAGTAAGGCCACTGTAACTTGGAAAGGTCTTTACGCTTGTTCAAATTCAGACTCACCCAGCTCGTGTATACTCGAGAAAATTTGATTACGTGTAAAAAGAACAGCTCTGAGAGGTTCTTTCTGGGGAATTCCACAGTTGATGAATCTCTCAGAGACAGAGGAATTTTCTTATAGTGCATCTGGCAGAGCATGTATGTACTCCTACACCCCTACACCCCGACACCCCTGCCTCTGCCGACTGCTCTGGCACTCTGCCACCAGAGAAGGTGTGCCCCACTGTGCTCAGGGCCTTCTGCCAGAGCAGCCTTTTCCTAGGTAGGGCTGGGGTACTGTGCACACCCCAAAGCACTTCAACCCTCCTTTTGGGAGTGCCCTGCCAAATAAGACAGCCAAGGAGGAAATTACCTCCATTCCTGCAAAGAAACTACTCATTTTTTTTTTTTTTATTTGGGAACAGTGTGTGTGTTGGGCCACCCTTTGATTATCAAAGCCGGATTGCTCTCCAAACTCCAGCCCTGTGGCCTCCAGCTGTGCAAATACTGCTGACACTGCCATATAACTGGCAGAAGATGACTCCACCAGGTACCATTCTTCTTTTGGACCATCTTCCCTTAAAAACAATTAAGCAGTCAGGCACGGCAGCTTTGCCTAGTTCTTTTTGTTTACTGGAAACTGGAGTTAGCATCATTTCCCCTTATAAAAAGAGGCAATGGCCTAACCGTGCAAAAAGTCTGGCCCAGTGGCTTACAGGTAATAGACAAACCTTAATCTCCTTTCCCTTTCCATATCCAACCAGGGATGTTAACCTGTGACTGTTACTCTCACTCCTCCGCAAAGTTAAGGGCAGATACCATGCACAATTCTTAAAGATGAAAACAGCTGTGGGAATTCCTAGCTTTCCTGAACTTAAATCTACCCAATTGCTCCCACCGTCAACACATCTCTAAGGCAGGCTCCGCCCTGTCCAGCTCCAGCCTTCTTCACTTCTCTACTCCTCTAAGCTCCTTTCTCATGAGCAATAAAACACTGGGATGTAAGGAACCCAACTTCGTTCCCATCTTCTCACAAGACACACCAGCCTAGCACAATGCCCTAGGAATTCACTTGATCATTACGGATTCTCTCGTAGGGGAGGTGGAATACAGTTTTGAGATCCAGATAAAGTTGCAGGGAACAAATTTCTCAAACTTCCATGATGTGGCTCTGATTTCTACCACTAAAATATCCATGGAAAAGGTAAAAATCAGTGTTCTGATTTGGCATTTATTACGTGATATTGATTGCTTCTAGAACTTAAAAATAATGTTTTTTCAGAGGTGTTATTTGATTATGGTGGGTGGTCCATTTAGAACACAGTCAATACAATCTCACTTCAAAAAAAAAGGAAAAAAAGGTTTACAAATAGGCCACTTGCCACAACAGGTATGGGAAGGATTTTATTAGTGCTAGAAGGTTCAGAGTCTGTTTAGTGTAAATATAGTCTAGACTCATCATCTTAACCCCATCTCCAAGTCTGGAGCACAGAAAAGAAAAAGCCTGATGAGAAAACAGGAGCTGGAGATTTTGGGGACAGATGCCACAATAAGCATGGTAGGTGGCTCTCTGAATAACAAAGCTGGCACCTTACTGACTGCTGGCTCAGTTTGAAAAGGGGCAGGGTAAGGAGTCAGGAACTGAAACCCCCCCTGTGGTAACCACACCACCAAGACTTGCTCAGTAATGAGCCCACTGATGTGCAGAGTGAAGCCATGTATGATGGTGGAAAGCCGCACCTCCCAGGGAGCTGAAGTCCCCGGGGATGATACTCACGCTGACACTGTCCCCAGGACCGGCGGGCCCAGCCCCAGCAGCAGTCAATTCTCCCACCATAACGACACAGGCCAATTGACGACACTATTTGCCTGGGCCACCTACCAAACAAAAAGATTCAAAATAAATAAAGACACTATTGAAATTAAAAATATTTTCCTGTTATTATTGTTTTTTTAATTTAAATCACGCCCAACAATTTTCGATGAACTCATTCATGCCTGCAGAAATTTAAGGATAAAACACATTCAGGAAAACAGTTCTGCTGTGATCTAATTCCAAATTTCAGAGAGTTAAACACACACACATACTCTACACACTACACACAGGAGTAGAGGCAAAGGGAGGGGAAGATCCTTTCTTAAATGGAAACAGCATCAGCTAAAACCAAGAATTCCCAAGGCTGACACTCACAGGGTGGTTTCTGAAGCTTGAAATGAAACAGATTCCTCAAAGACCCACACCTGTTACTTGGGGGAAAACCAGTTTTGACTGATTTATCATAAACTGAAAAGTATTAATCTGACATGTCAAAGCAGAAAGAAAAAAAAAATCTGCCTTTAATTTCTGCCTTGGAAAGGGGCACAAAGACGGGACCTTCCTCAAAAATCAAATGAAACAGACCTCTTTCCAAGGTATGACTCTTTGGCAGAAAATGTTCCCAGAAAAAATAAAAAAGTATAAATAAAACCAAGAGGAGTTTAAAGTGTAGCTAACATCTCAAGTGTCCTTGTGGTTTGAAACTTCTCTGCATCAACAATTCATGTTATCTTCCTCACTCATGTAAATAAGGACTAAAAGTATTCAATTTCAGTATACCAATTTATCCACCAGATTCCACTTTCACGCCTTATTTGGTAAATCGTTTCTTTGTTTAGATTCACACCTGACTTTTTACCCCCAGAGGATTAATGTTTTAATTGGCTGTTTTAAAATTAAAGCTACCTTAAAATCTTATGCATAATCATGTGATTTCTGTATTTCCTACTGCAAGTGTGTGTGCCAGAACTGCACAACATACCCGAATGTGAGCAAAGGATTGCTTTAATAAAATAAAATAGCCTCTGGCCGCTACCCACATTTTCTTAAAACACTCCTAATCTTTCCAATTCCCGTTTCTTTTATCTCCCCTTATGCCCGCAAGCCCAAAGTACAAAATAACCCCGAACTCTCTATTTCCTCCCACCAGGTGGTAAACAAGTGATTGCGCTTTTCCTCCTCAGCGCTCCACTGGTTCCCCTCCGTGTTCCCCTCCAGGTTCAAGAAAGCCAATCAATCGTGGAACTGATTCGTTCCGAGATTACAAGTAACACAGGTGCGGCTGTCTTTAGGGCTGCTCAGAGGGATACTTGGCGGGGTCAGGGCGGGGGTCTCAAAGAGGAAGACTGGATGGATGGCGGTGTGACCGGGTTAAAATCTCTCCCGGCTGCTCCAGCCAGGTTTCTGCGCGAGCAGCAGGGATCCGCGCTCGGGGCGGGTCTGGTCTCTAACTGCACGGAGGTGGGGCAACCGAGCACGCCCTCCTGAGCGACAGACACACACAAACACTCACTCGCCCGAGCGGATCGAGCGCCGCGCGCCGCCGCCAGAGGAGCGGCTGAGTGACAGCGGCGACGGAGCCCGGGGTTGTTGGAACCTGCCAGAGCACGCTGCAGCCAGGCGCGCCGAGGTCTCGGGAGCTGTGTGTGCGCGCGTACCATACACAAACACGCACGTAGCGCTCCCCCTTCTCAGTCCTTATTTTGAGTCCACCTCCCTCAAGAAAGCCAAGTGCGGAGGCAAACGGGTCCTCCCTGGAAGCCCAATCGCTCCTTCGCCCCCGCCCTTTGTGTGAGCGGCCCTGACAGCGTCGAGCCGGGCTTTGGCCCGGCCACCGGGAAGTTTCCAGCTCAAAGAGCCGTCGAAATCACACCCGAGAGCTTCCTGGCCACGGGTGTCCTGCGCGTCACCTCGGCTTAGGAGGTCAGCCCGCGCCCTCCCAGCCGAGGTGCGGGGCTCCAGGAGCCTTCCTCCTCCCGCCCCCCCCGGCCCTAATTCCCGAGCCGGGAGCCGCGGCTGGGCTCCGGGACTCGCAGGGGCTCCTTCCCCAGCCTCAGGAAGCCAGCCACTGGTTGCGAGAGCGGTTCGACGGCTCTCCTCCGCCGACGCCGTGCGGTGGCCCAACTTCTGGCCTGGGAGACGCCGCCCTGGCCGCGCAACCCGGCGGGGAGAGGGGACCCCAACACCGCAAGCGCGAAATCAGCGCTAGAAGGAGAAGAGGGCGCCCCGTGGCCCAACTCACCTCACGTCGAACTCGGCGGCCGCCTGCAGGTAGAGCGAGGAGCCGAGCACCAGCGCCAGGAGGAAATCCATGTCGGGCGGCGAATGGCGGGCGGCAGGGCCGATGAGCGCGGGGAACAGCTTGGGGGTGCTGGGCGCGCAGGAGAGGCGCGCTTGTCCCCGTGGCTCCGGCAGGAGTGCGAGCGCCGCTGCGACCGCAGCTGCTGTCGGAAGAGAGCGGCGCGGCGCGCAGCCGGAGCAGGTCTGCGACGCGACGCCGGGAGCCCCCTCTGGCTCCCTCCCCTCGAGGGGAGGTGCTGCAGGGGGAGCTGCGCCGCCCGCGGGGAGGGGCGCAGGGGGCGGGGGGCGCGCGTGCGCCTGCCTCCCCTCCCGCCCAGCCCGGGGCCGGGGGTGAGGGCCCTTGGCCCCTAGGCGGGAAAGCTCAGGAGCCGGAGCGCCGAGGGAAGCGGCGTCTCTTGAGGGCCAGCCAAGTGGGGCGAGCGCCAGGCTGCGAGGAAAGTTGCAAGCCCGGCCTGGGCGAGGGAACGCAGGGCGCCCAGCAGGAAAGGGTGAGCCGGGGAGGGAAGGGGCCCGGGGCATAGGTTCGCGCTCCGCGGGTTCCGCCAGAACAGGTGGTGACCGCAGGGGCGAGCCGTGGCTTCCACCGGGGGGGGGAGGGGGGAGGGGGTGCGGAGAAGCCGGAGACGGGAGACGTTTCTGGGGCTGGAGAGGAGCAGTGTCTGCATTTGGTGAAACCACAGCACGACTGCACGACTTGGACAAATTAGCAAAGGCAAACTCCGGGAGTTTGCTTCTCCCGCAGAGTTGGCAAAGGCTTATTTTTTATTTTGTAATCAACCGCAAAAAATGTTTGGCTCTCCAGTCGAGTTTTGTAGAAGAAACGTGCAGACTGTTTCTATCTCTGCCAGCTCAACTTCGAGCACTCTAGAAGGGTAGCAAGGGCTGCCCCTTCAGGGCACGTGCAGGCCCGAGAGGGCGGGCTGTTAACTACTTAGCAGTCTGTGGTGTCTGATCTTGGGGAGATCATTTAGAAACCATTTTAAAAATCATTCTGTTGTTGCAGAGCAAAAAATATTGTACTAAGACTGTTCAAATGAAAACACACAACGATCATCCTAAAATGCACGTGAAAACATATATCCATTGAGTCGCCTCCCCTCTCAATGAGTCCCCGGTGCAGAGATGTGCCATCTCTCAGACCCCTCAGGCCTAATCTCCTATTCTCTCTCTTCCCCTATCCCATGACCTTCTTGCCTTTCTCACAGACTCCAGGCATGCACGTCCCTGCCTTTGCGCCAATGACTGGCTGATACTTATTCCTGGGCCCAGATATCTGCATGGTTCACATTCTCAGTTCCTTCAGGCTTTGCTCAAATGTCGCCTTTTTGAGGAATCCAACCATGACCACCCAAACTTAAAGTTGCAAACCGGCCCCCTCAGGATGCCCCATGATTTGGTCAGCTTTGTCTCTTCTCCACACCACTGGCCTTCCAGCGTCCTATATAATTTATTTCTTGTTTGTATGTCTTCTTTCTGCTAGAATGCAAACTCTTCAAGGGAGTTTCTTTGTTAGTGCCTAGAACAGTGTCTGGCATGTAGTAGGTGCTCATAAATGTTTGTTGAATGAGTGTGTTACATTACGAACTTTTTTCTATCTTTATTTTCTTTTTGAGGTTTCTCCAACTTCAAATTTTTAATGGAAAGTTCTGTGGCAGTGTGATCTCACTATCCTGATTTCTTCGTGTGTATAAAAACAGGAATTTTATGCAAGAAAAGGAAAAAATAATGGTTTCAACTTAAACGACTCTTTGATTTCCAAGTTGTTTTCTGTTAGCAAAACAAGTTTCTATTTTAATCTCAGGAAATATCCGTGCCAATTCAGGCTTGGGACATTATTTTAGGCAAACAGCTTGGTGTCATCTATTTCAGATCTTTCTAATGAAGTCCAAAAATGTAGGAGTCAAAATATTTTTTCTTCAGAAAATCAAATTTTTGTAAGTTTAATGTAGGCTTGGTTCCAGGCTCCAGTGGCTACTCCTTAGCCATTTCCTTTGTTTATTGATTCCCGGGTTGGATTTGCAAATAAGCCCCACCAGAGCAACAGATGATTGTCAAGAAGGGGCTAACCTATAGGCTAAAAGCTGGAGATAGAAGGAAAGGAGGACAGGTGATAGGTGAAAATATGACAGTATCTGAAGCAAAAGTGTAATGCCCTATCGGCAGGCCTTTTAACATTTTTTTCCATATCTTTTTCTTTGGCTTAGAAAACACTCCATTCATCTTCCTTCTTCATTTGCACGCTCTCCACTTGCCCTTTGGGTCCAAGTTTAGCTGACATTTACCCAGGAAGCCTTTTCTGTTTTTTTGCTCGGCTGAGACTTTCGTGGTATAATTACAACACTATGCATCCCATATTGTAACTCCTAATGCAGTGTGTTTAATGCATTGCTTCTCTACCACTCTGAGTTCTATGAGACGGGGCACAAGGCCTGGCACAATGCTTCAATTCAGTAAATATTAAATGTTGGATTGGATTGAATTGAATTCTTCCTGGTGAACTTTAGCTTCTTGCCTGAGTAAGCAGTAGCTGATTATATCAGTCTTTGTTGAATCATGGAATGAGGAGACTCTAAAGGAATTCCAAGGTTAGTATGCTGCAGTTATGACCACCATTCCAGAAACAAGGTGACGTTCCCATGGGAGTGCCAATTACTGTCTCAGTCTTGAAAACAAACAACCAGATCAAAACAGTTTGCTTTTCACAATACCTGTACTTTTCCAATAGGACAACTTTTTGGTTAGGTTTCCTACCCAATAATGCCACCTTGCAAGTGGTAATCACAGTGTTCTCACAAATAATTATCACTAATTACAATGTGATACAGTTAAATAACAAAATAGGACCACACAAAAACAACTTCAGACGTGTGGACATTAGAAGCTCTTAATTGTTTTGTCTTCTTTTTTTTTTCAACAAATATTTAGTGAGAGCGTACAATGTATTGGCCATTTCTTGGTACTAGGACTTCAGCTGGAAAAAAGACAAGGTTGTGACCTGAGAGCACACTGCAGTTGGGGGGGGGGGCGTGGTTTGTCAGGGAGTAAGTGCTGTGAAGAGAGGATAAAGGTACAAAGAGAGGGTAAAGGAAGGATAAGGTGATAAGAGATGGGGTGTGATTTTAGGTAGAGTGATTTGGTCCCCTCTGGGGAGGTGACATTTAAAGAGAAACTGAATAAGGTGAGAGTGTGTGGTGGGGACAGTACCCAGGCAGAGGGGAAAGAAAATGTGTTCTCTATCAAGTTCTCATAGTGGCTGTCAGCAAGCTTTTTCTCCCCCTATCCCACATACAGTGGTGGCATAAGGACAGGATACCTGCTTTAAGAACTCCTATTAAGAAAGGAGAAGGATGAGGAGCACATAGCCGCTTGTTCACTGCAATTTTGACTCCCAGCCAAGCAAGAATTATGGAGATTCTCTGCTCCAGCTGTAGAAGAAATGCCTTGGTCAGACAGTCGGGTCACCTCTGTTTCTCCAACCTTGTCCATTCATCTTCCATAGCCACACCAGAAGGGGCTATTGGAGCATGTGTCTTCTTTCGAGGCTGTACATCATTCATAGCTCTTTTTCTACTGGTACAAAATCAAGGGTCTGAGCGTTGCTTTAAGGGGCTAACAGAGACAGATATTTTCAGGCCAGGCTCGTGGTTTCTGCAGTTACCAGATTTCTTTAGAACCCCAATGGGCTTCTGATCTAATTGTTTCCAGTCAGTTCCTTGTACCAATAACCATAACCAAAATCTTTTCTACTCCTAGTTCTTAAGCCTGCTTTATTTCTTTGCTTCTTTGGGTCCATACCTTACTCTTTCATCTTAATGGAGGCCACCTTGAAGCTAGCTAAAATAATAGGGCTGTTCAGAAGGGAACACCCGTACTCTGATACTTGCCACAAGGCTTAGATCCCTTTATTGATATTAATGTTTGGGGCATCAAAGCAGTTGTCTTTTTCAATCCAAGGAGGCCCCAAATTTGTGGACATTCTCATTTCTTTCCATTCCTGCTTGCAAAGCAGCCAGTTTTTGGCCGAGCTCATCTCTTTCTTAAAAAAGTGCCTTGTCAGAGCAACAAGGAGCAGTGAAATACACTAACATTTTCATTTTTTACAATGATATTCCCTAGTGTTGTGTCCTTCACGTGATCATAGATAATGATTTTATGAAATAGCATGTCTAGGGCCTTTCTAGCCCACACACAGCAGTTCTAGTTGTACCACAGAGCATATCATCCCTTCAGAGAGTAAATAATTCCGATACTTAAGCTCTTTTAAATATCTAAAGAGGAGTGCTTATAATTATTCTTAAGAAGTCGTTGATATTTAAGTCTGGAAAAAATAGCTTTCTCACATGTGCCCAAACATACACACATATACCCAGCTCATCTCTGATACAAATATAAATGCACAAAGCCCTAAATAAATGATTAGAAGTATAATCTATTAACATATAGAAGAATCCATTATAATCAGGTTGACAGAAAACCTCTATGTGGGTAAAGGGTTAACAAAATCCTTTCCCCTTCTGCATGAGAATTTGACCTTATGTTAACTTTCTAGCTCCCGTTCCCCTGGCAACCTGATAAGGTGGTTGGTGAACTATGTTGCTATGTTGCTGGTAAGAATGGATCCCTGATTGATCAACTGTGTTTAGACAGAACAAAATATACCCAATAGCAAACCATAGCATTGGAGGGACCTGAGTTCAGTGACTCTTCTAACTGGGTGTGTCCCTTGTAGAGCCCTTGGACACTATGCTGATGAGATATTGGCTCCAGAGGGGCATGAGGCTGTTGAGCCAGAGCAGTTTCCCATCTGTGTAAAGTGTTTATCATCAGGCACCCGGGCTGTTCTGCTGTGTGAGGAGTTCCACTGAAGAGAAGCACTTGATGCAGGCATACCGTGGTCCCTGTCCCTTATCCTGAGTATGCAAGTGCCATCTTGCGAGCCTAAATGTTCTGAATCTTTACTTAAACCTAAGAAGACCTGAGGTCTCTGCAGACTCCATGATCAGTGCTATTGATTCCTGATTTTAAAAAAACAAACAATAAACTATTAATAAAATAATAACTCAAAGAATAATGTAGAATGTGAATACTGGGAAAATTCTTATCAACGTCGGGAATGAGATGCGAATGCCCATATCACTACTTTCATAATATTCTAGAAATAGGATCTGATGCAGTCAGACAAGGAAAAATGTGAATTATTGAAAACAAGGGGCAAAGTTCTCATTAAGATGATATGATTAGGTAACTAGAATAGCCAAATAGTATTTAAAAAATTTATTGGAAAAAAATCAGAATATTTGGTAAGATAGTTACAAAAATGGTAATTTAAATATATAAACACACACCTATGTGAAAAGTTAATATATATTTTAAAAATTACCAACTTGCAAGATTGAACTCCAAAATTTTGTTCCAGCCTTCTCTTCACAAACTGAAGGCATTGGTGTTTCATCTAATTCAGCACACATGAGCAACTAATACGCTTCAGGCACGACGATTACCGTTGCTCTTTCTCATCCACCTTCAAATAATTCTGCCAAAGACACCGGAAGACTTTATTTGATAGGCCTTTCATTCTATTTTAATGTCACTGGAAGAATTCAAATGGGCACAAATGGATGAAATTAGAAAGCAATTTTAATAGAGAGTCATGTTGTAGTCTACTTTTCAGCCCTTTTAAAATTATACCTTAGTGATATGATACAAATTTTAAAGCAATTTGGATTCATGTTTTTATGTAGAAAAATGGGAATGTTGGGGCGCCTAGGTGGTGCAGTCGGTTAGTTTTGTCTGAGGTCGTGAGCTCAGGGTCCTGAGATGGAGCCCCATGTAGGGCTCTGCGCTCATTGCTGAGTCTGCTTAAGATTCTTTCACCCTCTACCCCTCCCCACCTCTGCTCGCTCGCTCTCTCTAAAATAAATAAATAAATCTTTTTGACAATGAATTTTTAGGATCAGTTAACCAGGGATGGTAACACTAACTTCTCCAGCACATCACCTCCAGTATCTTTGGCTTGACACAATAAAAATTCCTTTCATTAGTGCAAAATGTAATGCAGTTTGGACAGTCTCCTAAGCGATCCTTTACAGGTGGCTATTCAGGGATCAGGGCTCCTTCCATCCTGTGGTTCTGTCTTCCTAGAGTTCTCCTCATCTAGCCACATGGGTAACGGGGGAAGGAGTTCGAACAAGCGTACCTGGGGATGTGCAGCATTCTGCTGGCCTCTACCTCGTCACATGGCTCCAACATAGCTGCAAGAAAAATTGAAAAATATATTCTTCCAGTATGCCGAGAAGGAAAATGAAAATTTTAAATTGAATACCTAACATTGTCTTTGTCCTGGCCTCAAGAAGCTAGTGAACTTAGTATTTAATTACTGTCAGAAAGAATGCTTAACAGTAATTATAACAGTACTGAAAAAAAAATCATTGTCTTTGAAAATCATTCTCCGAAATTCATTTAATCAATGATTTTCATCATACAGCAAGTCAATATATTTGGGATCCTGAACGTATAATTCACCTGATTAAATTAGGTAAATTGTATAAAGTACTTCGTCCAGCACATAGTATAGGTAGGACAAGCTCGACAAGTATTGATTGCCTCAAGGAAAGGTTTTACTGCTGGGAATGAAATAAGATTTTTCTATGTCCAAGGCAGGCAACTGGAAACCTTTGCATTAACATTTTCCATGCCTAAACCAACTCTGACAAGCTCTATTGTGAATATCTCATCTCAACTGAGCTTTTATCAAAGTATTTGAGCAAATTCAAAGTTGCCTAAATACTCTTGCATCCCCCTGCCCCATGGGGGAAGTACTAGTTAAGTTTTTCACCTTTCATAATAAATGATCAATTTTCTGGTCTCTAAACATGGACCTGTTTGTTCTCAAACAACACAGGAGACCAGTTCCTTAGGTAAAATTTTAGTGCTTATAAAAGTCCTTGTTAAATGATATTTATGGAAGGCAGTGTAGATAGGGGACATGGTATTTGGATAAATTTGGATTTCCCAAATAGTGACCTTGGATCAAGTTAGTCTCTTGGAACTTAACTTAGAACCTGGAAGACTCTTCTCTTACTGAGTTGGGCTTTCAGCTGTTACGAGTTTATTTCGAAATATAGTTAAAGAAGATTTGCACTTATGCTTTCTGGAAGACTCTTGTGGATATTATCTGATGTATCTATCTTGATCCCGTAAGGTAACTAGTTTCTTAGAGAATTTAGGGCCAAGAAAAAATGTTGTTTCTTCTGAGAAAATTTTATGTCTTTTATTTTCTGATGAAAACTTACTGTACCAATCTTCCCTTTTAAAAGTGGCTGCCAGAAAACTATGGAGACAGTAAAAAAAAATCAGTGGTGGGGTGCCTGAGTGGCTCAGTCGTTAGACTTCTGCCTTCGGCTCAGGTCAAGTCATGATCCCAGTGTTCTGGGATCGAGCCTCTTGTCGGGCTCCCTGCTCTGGGGGAAGCCTGCTTCTCCCTCTCCCACTCTCCCTGCTTGTGTTCCCTCTCTGGCTGTGTCTCTGTCTGTCAAATAAATAAAATCTTAAAAAAAAAATCAGTTGTTGCCAGGGGTTAATGAGAAGAGATGGATGAATGGGCAGAGCACTGAGGATTTTTAGGGCAAGGGAACTATTCTGTAGGATACTATAATGGTGGGTACATGTCATTCATTATATGTTGTCAAAACCTATAGAATATACAAGAATAAGAGTGAACCCTAGTGTTAAACTATAGCCTTTGGGTGATTACAATGTGTCAATATATGTGCATCAGTTGTAACAAATGAACCACTCTGGTGGGGGATGTTGGTAATGGGAGAGCCTATGCATGTGTGGGGGCAGGTAGTATATGAAAAATCCTTGTAACTTCCACTCAGTTTTGCTGTGAACCTACAACTACTCTAAAAAATAAAATCTATTAATTTTTTAAAGAAGAAAGTATATATATTTTGTCATGAATTTTCCCAGGTAATTTAAAGTTTGTAAGGTAGTTGTATTTAATGTTGTTTACTTAAAATTGTGGACAATTAAAATTCTCATATAAACTTGGAAGAACACACACAAAATAACTAAATATATATATTTAGTTAGTATGCATATATATATATATATATGTATTTAAAAAAACTTCCCAGGAAGCCCAGAGTTAAAATTCTGCCATAACCACTAAGGAAATTGAAGCAGTCATCAAAAATCTCCCAAAAAACAAAAGCCCAGGGCCAGATGGCTTCCCAGGGGAATTCTACCAAACATTTAAAGAAGAATTAATACCTATTCTTCTGAAACTGTTCCAAAAAATAGAAATGGAAGGAAAACTTCCAAACTCATTTTATGAGGCCAGCATTACCTTGATCCCAAAACCAGACAAAGACCCCATCAAAAAGGAGAACTACAGACCAATATCCCTGATGAACATGGATGCAAAAATTCTCACCAAAATACTAGCCACTAGGATCCAACAGTACATTAAAAGGATTATTCACCACAACCAAGTGGGATTTATCCCTGGGCTGCAAGGTTGGTTCAACATCCGCAAATCAATCAACGTGATACAATACATTAACAAAAGAAAGAACAAGAATCATATGATCCGGGCGCCTGGGTGGCTCAGTTGGTTAAGCGACTGCCTTCGGCTCAGGTCATGATCCTGGAGTCTCAGGATCAAGTCCCGCATCGGGCTTCCTGCTCAGTGGGGAGTCTGCTTCTCCTTCTGACCCTCCCCCCTCTCATGTGCTCTCTCTTTCTCATTCTCTCTCTCAAATAAATAAATAAAATCTTTAAAAAAAAAAAAGAATCATATGATCCTCTCAATAGATGCAGAAAAAGCATTTGACAAAGTATAGCATCCTTTCTTGATCAAAACTCTTCAGAGTATAGGCATAGAGGGTACATACCTCAATATCATAAAAGCCATCTATGAAAAACCTACAGCAAATATCATTCTCAATGGGGAAAAACTGAGAGCTTTCCCCCTAAGGTCAGGAACGTGGCAGGGATGTCCACTATCACCACTGCTATTCAACATAGTATAGTATTAGAAGTCCTAGCCACAGCAATCAGACAACAAAAAGAAATAAAAGGCATCCAAATCGGCAAAGAAGAAGTCAAACTCTCATTCTTTGCAGATGATATGATACTTTATGTGGAAAACCCCAAAGAATCCACCCCAAAACTGCTAGAACTCATACAGGAATTGAGTAAAGTGGCAGAATATAAAATCAATGCACAGAAGTCAGTGGCATTCCTATACACCAACAACAAGACAGAAGAAAGAGAAATTAAGGAGTAGATCTCATTTACAATTGCACCCAAAACCATAAGATACCTAGGCATAAATGTAACCAAAGAGGCAAAGGATCTGTACTCAGAAAACTATAAAATACTCATGAAAGAAATTGAGGAAGACACAAAGAAATGGAAAAACGTTCCATGCTCATGGATTGGAAGAACAAATATTGTGAAGATGTCAATGCTACCTAGAGCAATCTACACATTCAATGCAATCCCCGTCAAAATACCATCCACTTTTTTCAAAGAAATGGAACAAATCATCCTAAAATTTGTATGGAACCAGAAAAGACCCCGAATAGCCAGAGGAATGTTGAAAAAGAAAAGCAGGGGTGCCTGGGTGGCTCAGTTGGTTAAGCGACTGCCTTCGTCTCAGGTCATGATCCTGGAGTCCCGGAATCGAGTCCCACATCGGGCTACCTGCTCAGCAGGGAGTCTGCTTCTCCCTCTCCTGCTCCCCCCTCTTGTGCTCTTTCTCTCTTTCACTCTCTCTCTCAAATAAATAAATAAAATCTTAAAAAAAAAAAAAAGAAAAGAAAAAGAAAAGCAAAGCTGGCGGCATCACAATTCCGGACTTCCAGCTCTATTACAAAGCTGTCATCATCAAGACAGTATGGTACTGGCACAAAAACAGACACATAGATCAATGGAACAGAATAGAGAACCCAGAAATGGACCCTCAACTCTATGGTCAAATCATCTTTGACAAAGCAGGAAAGAATGTCCAATGGAAAAAAGACAGTCTCTTCAACAAATGGTGTTGGGAAAATTGGACAGCCACATGCAGAAGAATGAAACTGGACCATTTCCTTACACCACACACAAAAATAGACTCCAAATGGTTGAAAGACCTCAATGTGAGACAGGAGTCCATCAAAATCCTAAAGGAGAACACAGGCAGCAACCTCTTCGACCTCAGCCGCAGCAACTTCTTCCTAGAAACATCGCCAAAGGCAAGGGAAGCAAGGGCAAAAATGAACTATTGGAACTTCATCAAGATAAAAAGCTTTTGCAAAGCAAAGGAAACAGTCAACAAAACCAAAAGACAACCGACAGAATGGGAGAAGATATTTGCAAATGACATATCAGATAAAGGGCTAGTATCCAAAATCTATAAAGAACTTATCAAACTCAACACCCAAAGAACAAAGAATCCAATCAAGAAATGGGCAGAAGACATGAACAGACATTTTTCCAAAGAAGACATCCAAATGGCCAACAGACACATGAAAAAGTGCTCAATATCACTCAGCATCAGGGAAATCCAAATCAAAACCTCAATGAGATACCACCTCACACCAGTCAGAATGGCTAAAATTAACAAGTCAGGAAATGACAGATGTTGGCAGGGATGCGGAGAAAGGGGAACCCTCCTACACTGTTGGTGGGAATGCAAGCTGGTGCAGCCACTCTGGAAAACAATATGGAGGTTCCTCAAAAAGTTGAAAATAGAGCTACCATATGATCCAGCAATTGCACTACTGGGTATTTACCCCAAAGATACAAAAGTAGGGATCTGAAAGGGTACGTGCACCCTGATGTTTATAGCAGCAATGTCCACAATAGCCAAACTGTGGAAAGAACCCAGATGTCCATCGACAGAAGAATGGACAAAGAAGAAGTGGTATATATATATATAATGGAATATTATGCAGCCATCAAAAGGAATGAGGTCTTGCCATTTGCAACTACGTGGATGGAACTGGAGGGTATTATGCCGAGTGAAATAAGTCAGTCAGAGAAAGACATGTATCATATGATCTCACTGATATGAGGAATTCTTAATCTCAGTAAACAAACTGAGGGTTGCTGGAGTGGGGGGTGGGGTGGGAGGGATGGGGTGACTGGGTGATAGACACTGGGGAGGGTATGTGCTCTAGTAAGCACTGTTAATTGTGCAAGACTGTTGAATCTCAGATCTGTACCTCTGAAACAATGCAATATATGTTAAGAAAAAAAAGAAGAAGAAGAAGAAGATAGCAGGAGGAGAAGAATGAAGGGGGGGAAATCGGAGGGGGAGACGAACCATGAGAGACGATGGACTCTGAAAAACAAACTGAGGGTTCTAGAGGGGACAGGGGTGGGAGGATGGGTTAGCCTGGTGATGGGTATTGAGGAGGGCACGTTCTGCATGGAGCACTGGGTGTTATGAACAAACAATGAATCATGGAACACTCATCTAAAACTAATGATGTAATGTGTGGGGATTAACATAACAATAAAAATAATAATAATAATAAAAAATAAAAAAATAAAATTCTGCCCTAAGAGTCACTTTAACTCTTTGGATGGGTTAGCATGTGTACTCTTTTCCAGCTTTCACGGGCCCTCATTTTCCGTTTTATTATATGAGATGTTATGAGAGAATAAGAAATAAGATATTTGGTCTTGGCCCTGGTTTCTGGCACAGAGCTCCTAAAAACCCTTGCCCTTTCCTGAATGACAAGGGTGAGAGGAGCATCTTCTGTTATTCATAAAAAGCCTCTTTTCAACCATATCTGAGTTTAAGAGGTGACTCTTGTGCCCTATAAACTTTCAGCCCCGATCCTAGACATCGGAGGAAGGGACGAGGGTAGGAGATTGAGAACACTCACCAGTGATCCATTTGATCAATCATGTCCACGTAAGGAAGCCTCCACAAAATCCCTAAAGGACTGGATCAGGAGAGATTCCTGGTTGTTGAGCGCATCCACGTGCCAGGAAGATGGCAGCCTGGAGAGGGCGCCCCTTCCCACATGCTGCCCTTCGCATTCCTTTCGTTTGGTCTTTCCTCATAATAAATAGTAAGAATGTTTCCCTGAGTTCTGTGAGTCATTCTAGCAAAATCTTGAACCTGAGGAGAGAGTTATGAGAGCCCCTGTTTTACAGCTGGTCAGTCACAGGTACCAGTGACAGCCTGCGACTTGTGGCTGGTGTCTGAAGGGAAGCAATCTTGGGACAGAGCCCTTACCCTGTCCAGTTTACTCTAATTCTGGGCAGTTGGTGTCATAATGAATTAAATCGTAGGACGCCCAGCTGGTGTGCACAGAGAATTGGAGAATTACTTGATATAGAAAACCCACACATTTGGTATATCAGAAGTGTTTTAAGTAGGAAGAAACAGAGTTTTCTTTTATTACCCTTATTTTATGCTGTCATTTCTTGAGGCTTTTCTCCAAGTCCAATTTGGAAAAAAGCAGGACTAAAATAAATTTAATAAATAAAAAGATAAAAATATAGTCTCCCAACTATTAACATTTAGGTTTGATCGAAAAGCTATAGCTTAGTTATTTGTTTTTTGTTTTAGTATTTCCCATAAGTTTTTTTTTCTGCTTCTGACACTGAGTCATGTTCTCCAGAAAATCTTTAGATTTCTAATTGTACGATCTTCCCTATATATAGGTAGTTCACATTCTTTATATTCACTTTGGCCCCCTCTGTTCAAACAATAAAATCTCTCTCCTATAAATAGATTGTTGTTTTGTTTTTTTTTTTCCTAAATGGAGATGCAAAATGCAGTTCCAAGACCTTACCACTCGTTGTTGGAAAGCTCCTTATGGGTAACTTTTTACTTGTTCTGTTCCAGGTGGAAAAAACAAAATATCATACTATATACGTCTCAAGCTATATAGTTTATTGAATGAGCAAGGCCTTACTCCCCAGTGCTAATAAGCTGAAATGTAAAATTCATTGAAATCAAGTAGTTGGACGATACTGGTAGATGAATGTTTTTAATTACAGAGTGTTTCCAACTCTGGTAAATGTGCATATAAACTACAATTAATCTGCAAAATAATCCACCAAAGAAATCAAAACATTTTAGAAGTATTATCTCATTTTTCTAAATGCATGTCTAGGAATAGAGTATGATTTGGAAAAATTTTAAGGAAAAATTAATGCAGGATAGCACTTAGGGTCAGACTTCAGATTTAATTCCACTCTGACAAATACCAGTTGAGCTCTGACCGAAACTCCCTGAACATCAGTTAACTTTTATTATACAGGAATACTAATGTATTGTGTACACATAATTTTCCGTATATTATATTGTTTTGACATCCCGGGAAGCCATTCTGGCTGGAAAGAAACTACCCTTCTCCTGGCTAATTCTTAGAGATAGCCAAAGGGCCCCGGCCTGGAGCATAGCTTTGATATGAAAACTAACAGATCCAGAAGCACACCTCTGCTATGTGCCCTGTGCATCCCAGAAGTAATATTACTCTGCTTTATCCCAGGACCAGGTGCCAGGCAACTAGGGACCAGCCCTATAGACCAAAACCCACCAAAATTATTCAGACTAGTTAATCCTAAACTCATTACCCTGTCCTTCCTTGCCTTTCCCACAGAAACCCCAATAAAGGCCTTCGCCTAAGTGTTCCTTCCTACTCCCGTCTTCTGCCTCCTGACCTCCCCGGTGCTTTCCATGTGGCCCCACATTGCATCCTCCTGTCTTTAGGACTGTGTCTAAAGTAAACTTTTGTTTTTGACTGAGCCTCTCTTCTGTATCTTCTTATGGCCATACTTGACTGACTTTGTCATAAAGGATATAAAACAACCAACATGTGTCTTGCAGTTACTGTGAAAATATAAAGAGTTAAAATATAATGCCACGATTACAATGCTTGGAACAGAGAAAACATTCAAGTAATGGTAGTTGTTAAGAAAAGTAATTCTAACGTAGGATGCATAACCCAACATTGATGAACTGGATCACACTCCATGCTCTGGCGTATCTGAATATAAAGCTATGGAGTGTCTGCACCTCTGTCTCTTTCCACAGTATCTGCATAGAAAGGAATGCTGGACCATTTCTGCATTCTTACAAACACGTCTTTTTTTTTTTTTTTTTTTTTTTTGCCACAGGGATTTCCTGTCTCTTACTGCGATAGAGGCCGGAAGCAGAGGCTCCTGTCTTTCAACAACAGGTATGAATTCTGCCAACAGAATAGCCAATTTAAGCCTCCAGATAGGGAGGGATTCACCTGGACTAGAGACATAAAGAGTTTGTTATTTTTAATGGAATAAAGATGAAAGTGATACATACCAACTCAGACGAAGGAAAAGAAAGCTCTGACTGGACTTGATATCCAGGTTCGGTTTCTAGGAGTTGTGCCGAAGGCTCCCTGCCAGGCAGGAGATGTCCTCTCAGCTCATGTCAGCCCTTGGTGTGATCAGCTCAAATTTCTTTATAGACAAGAAGAGAGACTGATTTTGTCCGCTAAATAATTTAACAGGTTATCTGTTGCACAACTCTTATGTGTATTGTCCTGTGTTACATCTAAGTCCTATCCAACTTTGCCAGCTTCATCCCTTGTGGTCATTTAGTTTGGTTTTGTTTTCCTAAAAACAACAGCAGTAGCACATAAGACAGGTTCTTGTCACCAGGAAGTTGCCATATTTATGGTAGTGAATCAATCTTCTTTTACTCATCAAAAGTAACCCTGGGATTATGGGCTAGAAGAAAGGACATTAAAACCTAGAAGGTCAGGAATAATGGCTCCCAAAGATTTGAGTAACATCCTGGAAACTGAAGGGGATCCCATAGAACATTCCTCAAGGTATTGATGATATGATTTATAACATAAAATAACATATATAATAATCATCGGATTTACCATCTTTGGCAAAGATTTGGATCTCCTTAAGGAGGTTTCCAATTTTTCCCATTGACCCACCCATGTCTTTGAAACGCATTTTCTCCATTAAGGTTTGTTTGGCAAGCTGTTTGGAACTCTAGCACTTGTTTTCTAAGAAATCTGCCCACTGTTTGAAATCTGAAGAGCCAAGTCATCAGATATATAATAAAAACATAGGCACCATTCTAGCAATGGTGGACTAGGATGTTTTGAACCAACCCTCTCTTTGAGAACTAGAAAAGCTATCTAGGTGGTTAGGAACTGGGTTCATGGGGTCTGGATATGGGAACACAGGGAAGCCCAAAGAAATGAGCCTGAATTTATACTGCTCTTCTTCAGGTGACTACCAATTCTAAAAGTGGAAGCTGAAGGTGGGATACTGAGCAGACTTTCAATGGGTACATGGTCAGGGGGGAAGAGAAATTAGAGTTCAGAGCTTGCCAAGAGGGATGGGACCTGGTAAACTGCCTGGGTGTTTAGCTGGAATCCTGAAGGGGTATACCCCAGGAGGACGAGGACAGTGGATACAGATTAGCGCTCTCAAAGATTAGATGATCTAAGTCTGCTACTGTTGCAGCCCAGCTGCTTGCCAGAAGCAAAACAAACCCTCTCTGGAGGAAGATAACATCACCTATGGCCACAAATTATCACTGAATGTTTTATATCAAAGTCTGGCAATCAATTAAAAAGTATCAAGCACGTGAGGCAGAAAGAAAAACAGAGGACAATAGAAAGACTCATAGGGAACATAGAGATTTTGTTGTTATTCAGTAGAATTTTTAAAAATTATGATGAATACATTTAAGAAATTAAAAAATGAGATTGAGAATTGAGAATTTTGGCAGAGAAGAGGAAATGAAAATACAATTAAAAAAATAGGGGCGCCTGGGTGGCTCAGATGGTTAAGCGTCTGCCTTCGGCTCAGGTCATGATCCCAGGGTCCTGGGATCGAGTCCCGCATCGGGCTCCCTGCTCCTTGGGAGCCTGCTTCTCCCTCTGCCTCTCTCTCTCTCTCTCTCTGTCTCTCATGAATAAATAAATAAAATTAAAAAAAAAATAGGGGTGCCTGGGTGGCTCAGTCAGTTAAGTGTCTGCCTTCAGCTCAGGTCATGATCCCAGGGTCCTGGGATTGAACCCCATGCCGGGCTCCCTGCTCAGCAGAGTCTGCTTCTCTCTCTCCTGCCCCTTCCCCTGGCTGCGCTCTTTCTCTCTTTGTCTCTCCCAAATAAATAAAATCTTTAAAAAAAAATAAAAATAAGTTAAAAAATAAAAATAAAGAAATTCTAGGAATTTCTGGAATTCTGAAAACACAATAACTGATGTTAAGAATTGAATGAATGGGTTTAATAACAGATTTGGTACAGCTGAAAAAGAATCAGGTAAGTCAGAAGAAAATACTTAGATTGAATCACAGATCAGCAAAAGGATGAAAAACACACAAAAGAGTAAGAGATGTATGGGATAGGTGAAAACGTTGAATATATATGTAATTGTAATCCTAGAAGAAGAGAGAGATCAGGACAGAGAGAACGGGATGGAATAAACGTATGAACAGATAATGGCTGAGAATTTTCCAAAATTGTTGAAAAGTATCAAGCCACAGATTTAAAAAACATCATAAACCCCAAGCAGGGTGCATATAAAGAAAAGCATAACCAGACAATACTGGAAAAACCAAAGGCAAAAATCTTAAAGCAGGCAAAAGGAAAAAAAAGACATAAATTTATTGGCTATTTCCTTTCCTAGGTGTGCTTTCAGAGAACAGCTTTGTGTGAGAGCCTGTGTGGAACATAAGCAAGTGGCCTTGGATTTGCTTTACTCTGTGTTTCTGTTTATTGTCAGTTACTTTGGGGAAATAGAGGCAGCATTCATCATTTGCAAAATCCTTAGAGCATTTACTTGATGACAGGACATAGTCATTTGGTACTTAAAGCCTGCTATGCATTATATATGTAAGAAACTTTGAGCACTTATTATGTGTAAGCCCTATTATTAGACCCAATTTTAGATGAGCAAACCAAAGCTTGGACAAGTTAAGTAATTTTGCTAAAGTCATGAGGCTAGTAAGAAGTAAAGCCTGACTTCATGGTCCTTCCTCCTAACTCCCTGGCTTATGTCACCAGTGGTAACAGTAAACTCCCCCATAGGAAGATCATGGCTCAACTTTCTGTTATCCCTCTCACTGCCTAGCCTTAAATGCCTTAGAGCCAGTGACTTGCTCAAATAACACTAATAACAACACAAGCCTAGCAATAACAGCTGCCTTTATTGAGCAGATACATTATACCAGGACTCATTTACTTCTCACATCCTTCTACCTAATACTAAGTAGCTACTAGTATTATCCCACTTTACATATTAAAACACTGAGGCACAGAGATGTTAAGTAACTTGCAAGGTCACACAGCTATTAAGTAGCAGAGCTGGAATCTAAAACTAGACAGTCTGGTTTCAGAGTGTGTTTTTAATCACACTTATTGCTCTTGCTATACTATTGTTCATTAACAAGAGCAGCAGAGGGAGAGAGAGTGATCTGTGTCCACCAGGACAAGGTTGGAAGCCTCCTAATTATTACTGTCAAGACAGCACACTCTTTGTTCTTGAAAGACCATATTTGTAAAAGATGCCAAGAAAAGGCAAATGATGACATAGGACATTTCGAGCTATCCACTTGGCTAAAGGACATTCTTCAGAATCTACGCAGTCATGTGCATTTTCCCCACAGAGTGAATTCTTTTTGTTCTTTTAAGATTTTATTTATTTATTTGAGAGAGAGAGTGCATGAGCAGGAGGAAGGGCAGAGGGAAAGGGAGAGAGAGAATCTCGAGCAAACTCCACACTGAGCACGGAGCCCAAGGTGGGGCTAGATCGTAGGACCCCGAGATCATGTCCTGAGCCAAAATCAAGAGTCAGCCGCTTATCCGAGCCACCCAGGCGCCCCCACAGAGTGAACTCTTTTTTTTTTTTTAAGATTTTATTTATTTATTTGACAGAGAGAGAGAGACAGCGAGAGAGGGAACACAAGCAGGGGGAGTGGGAGAGGGAGAAGCAGGTTTCCTGCAGAGCGGGGAGCCCAATGTGGGGCTCGATCCCAGGACCTGGAATCATGACCTGAGCCGAAGGCAGATGCTTAACGACTGAGCCACCCAGGCGCCCCCACAGAGTGAACTCTTAACTCATCTATTTACCACAACAATTTTTATTACATATTTTTTATTCTCCTATTTTTTATATCTTCCCAACTTCATTTTACTTTTACCTTATCCCTTAGGTTAAAGAGTAAATGAACTGACTTCATATCAGAAATTTTTTTTGCTGGGCCCCAAATAAGTTGAAGCTTGACAAAAATGCTAAAACCACCCAGAGCTGGTTTAGCAATGTTTAAAAGGAGAAAATCAGGGAGGAAAGACTAGACCTACTGCTTGGGGAAGACAAACATTAATAGATGTCAGGAAGAAGGCAAAGCTATTCAGCTGCTACCTTTCTTTTTATCAAGGAAGATGAAGCACCTTCACATTGAAAAGAATAGGGCAAAAGGAAAGTGAGTCATAAATTTTACAACTCAGTCTCTACAAATGAATTGAAAGACAAAATATGATGGTCTCTCTTGCTCTAAGGCCGTGTATATCTGATCCAGTAGTGTAACTAACATCAAGTTTGAAAGTTGGTAGTCTCAGAAGAATGAATCCACAAATCTTGGGAGGAAGTATTTCAAAGATGTCATTATCAAATACTCCCTTGCCCTGAATGGAGTGAGACATGTAGAATTCCTACAAGAAATTCCTCATTCTGCCTTAGGGCTCATTTGGTTGCTGGAAACAGAAACCCACTCTGGTGACTTCAAAGAAGAGAGGCTTTATTATACCGCAGCTCCTCATGGAATTCAGAGGAAGAGAGACAGCCGAGCCCCAAGGGGAGTTAGACTTGGACACTGGAAAGTCTTCGGGAGCCATGCAGCTTTTCTTCTCTCGCCCACACTTTCGGATTTCCCGGGCCTGTCCAGCCCCGCCCCGTGTGAGTGCCTCATGTGCATGGCTTGGCCCTCAGTCACCGCCATAGTCTCTCATTCGATAGGACGTGCAGCTCCAGGGACCGCCACTACCTGATTCTCAGCCTGTGTCTCAGTTCACATTGTCAAGAGAAAAATCATCAAACTGGTGTGGTTCATGAGTCAGGTATCACCTTTTTTCTGGGAGGGTTGGGTTTATTTGGTACAAACATGGGAAGAGAGGCTCACAACTGGTGCTCCAGTTGGGCGAGGGAGAGGGTTTTTCTTAAAGAAGAGACTGGGAAAGAAATCTCAAAAGGTGTCTCTAATCTCTGTGATCTAGATCCAGTGCTGCAGTGTCCTGGAATCTTCACAGTGTCTGAAATAATTTCCAAGAATTAGTCCAAGTATTGGGACAAATTTTGGGAAAAAGCCATTAGGAGGGAAGAATGGACATTTAATATATATGTAAATTATACTCCACTGAATGAGTTTTAAGCTCACTCTTCACCCATGAAATGAAATTCTAAAATTGAAATAGAAATTTAGTGACCTATTTGAACATTAACCAATTTTTAGGGCAAACACCAATGAAGTTGTATATCTTAAGATCAACATAAAGTGATACATCAGGCAGAGATACTCAATTCAGGTGCAGACAATAAATAATTATCAATACATAATTTGGAAGCAAACTTCCTCTTTGTTGTGCTACAGCTTGACTGAGACAATGGGGAAAATTTCAGGAAAGTCAGCAGAGAGTACCATTTTCAGTTGTCCTCAGACCCCTTCACCTAACCAGGTTGGAGTTAGCTTCTAACTCAGAGCAGGGCCCAGATCAAGATAGTCCTGGAGAATTGGCTTCTGTTGCCACCATCTCTCCAAACAAGATCAAAGCTCGGAGTCAAAGCCTAGCCCCACCCAGACTTGGGGGCCAGACATCAGGAACCTCAAGGGATGTAATCAACTGGTTTGACTTTCAACTTTGCAAGGCCATCTTTTCAGCATGAGAATTTATTTCCAGCAGTGGAATAGTTTAATGGCACAATATTCTCATTTTTATAAAATACTGAACTATTCTTAATAGTTAATTTTTCAATGAAAATGTAGGATATGCAACCTTTTAAATATTAAAATGTTTACCTCAGTTTTTAACATACATGATTGTTTATTTCATTCAAGCAAAATAATCATTTGTTTGACACTAGAGTTGCAAAAATTTTTGTAGGGTTTTGAAATTTTGATTTTTTTTCAATTTTTCAGATATAATTAAAAATGAAAACTTAATTTTTGTCTATTGTTTTGATTTTGTATTCTGCTTGAAGCATGTACTATTGATTATTTTTCTTTTGAAATCCAGTTTCTGTGTTACTAGGTCACTGCATTGCTTTAAGTTTGAATCTTTTAGTATTAAACTTGTGTGTATAACTGATGGTTATGATTTTCAGCCTAAAGCTAAAAAAAAAAAGTTTAATCTTTTCTATGGTTCTAACACTTTAATAACTCTTATTTTAAATTGAACTATAGTTTTTAGTATTTTCCCAGAGGGGAAAGAAAATGCATCTGTAATTGATTGGACATTAACACTTGGCAGACTAATCCTTGGCCTTTATTTGCAGAGAGGTAAAAGAAGATGGACGACTAAGGAGAATTTTTCAGTTGCTTTTCCAGGAAAAACAACAGCTCTGTTGGTCAGTATTATTCCTGGTTTTCAGATAAGGAACCTGAGATCTAGAGAGGTTAAGTACCTCACCGAAGGTCCCACAGCTAGTAAGTGGCGGAGTCTGGTTTCTAATTCAGGGATGTCTGATTCCAAAACCGTGTTCTGTCTGTTGCATCCCTGGACTTGATGGTTTCACAAGAGTACAGATTCACAGCATGTACTGTTAGGGCAGAAGAAATGTATGTTTGAATTAGTTATAGCACAGTCCGGTTTAAAAATTCCATTTTGAGGGTTTGTCCATGTGGCAGCATGCTGGGGTGGTAGGAAAGTGATTATCTTACCTTATCACTACAAAATTACACTCTGTGACCTTATGACAACCCTACTTTCCCCTATAAAAGAGAAGAAAGTAGCTGATCATATATTGGCTCGAGAGCCTAGTGCAGGAAACTCTCATTAGGTTTGAATTACAGCTAAAGTAGCCCCACAGACACTGTGGTGTGATTACATGAAAATAGCGACATAAAAGCTATTCTACTTCTGAGTGTTCTAAGGTTGATGGTGTTAAAGTTACGGTTAAAGGAATATTGTTTTATATTTTGGGATTCTGGAGATGTTCTTACTAGGAAAAGACCTCATAGTCATTTACCCTTAGCCAAGCAGATAAAGACTAAGGGCTAAGAGAAATAGAAAATGTCACAGCATCTTCTAGAAGTTAAAGAGTCAGGGATGGAACTAGTTAGAATGAGGACATTGTTATGGCCTCTCAACCAAAATGAAACAGACGTGACAATTGAAATAGTATATTAGACCCCGGGGCTGGTGCCAGAAGATGCTTTACTCAGAGCACTGCCTACAGAGTGTCTCTCGCTAGGGACTCAGATTCTTCTTCCTGATTGCCTGTCAGAGCCTATCTTAGAGCCTAGCTCTAAGATCCTCCAGTACTCCCTCTCCTCTTAAGTGAGTCCCCCTGAGGGAGAGCAAGTGCATGTCTGCTTTTGTTAGATGACAAAAAGTAGAGATGACACAGACACTGATGTAGAAGCTGTGTGGAGTACAAACAATTTTTTACCTTCCATGTTGAAAAAATATTTTAAGTTAATCTATAATTTTGTATTTGTGATGTTAAGTCATGAGGGTATCTAAATGAATTAATAAAGCAAATGTTGTAAATGGTTTCATGGTTATTCTATCTATATCCCAGAAGTCAATGTGTACAAGTGGGACAAAAAAAGTGAGAGAAGGAATATCTCATGGAAAAAAAATGGAGATCCCATCATTCGTCACCAAATGATTGATTTTTGGGTCTCTCCATTTGTTCAAATGTTTATTTCTATTTCTCAGTAAATCTTAAATAGAAAGTAATATGATGACAAAGGTCTTCAAGAAAGATTAATGTAACAGCTCTATATACATGCCCTGGAGAAGTAAAGATCTGGAAAGGAAGATATTGTAGTTATGAGAGTACAAGGAACTGACAAAGAAGTGAGGTTTTCAAGAACTTTGAGAAAAATTCAACAGGTCTTGGCATTATAAATACATGAAGTAAATGCGATCTGAATTGAAGGACCGTTACGTAGGAAGGTTCATAGTAGTGGCAATATTAAGACTTTGTCCCATTTCTCTTGATCCTGAGTCTTCACCCTGTATCCACCTAATGTAAATATTGCTGATGAGGTCAGGGATGTCAGCTTTTTGTGATAGTTTGTCATTTCTCCATGCAGTAGTGGTCGAGTACCAACTTCTGTTTAATTCCTGTAAGCTCACTTTGCTAACACAAGAAGACTGAGACATAAGAGCCTTGAGGAGAAATGGGAAGGAAGTAATGGATTCCCTGGAAAATCCAGTCCCCAGAAATCCTGCACAAGCACATTCCAAATGGGGATTATAACCTTTCTCATAGACCAATAGTTGTTAAATTGATATGAACATCAATTAGGTTGTACAAAGACAAAGGTCCTTTCTCGGAGAAACTCTGGTGAGCATGTTAGCTGACATTTCCTGATGCTTCAGCCCTTCTTCCTCATCCAGGTCAACGTATCTATCTACCTGGTAAAAATATCTACTGGCTCGTATTGGCCCCAGCTAGTGGATGCCACTCATTATTCACACTCTCACCTCCCGAAAGAAACCATGAGGCCTGAGGTAAATCACCATAAGCACACTAAACGTCTCCCCTACAAACTCACGCTAGTGAGACTCTTACACTGCATGGTTTGGGAGACATACATATGCTTACAAATTGTTTGGAAAGAAGAAAGATTTGATGGTAAAATTCAGATTAGCTCAAATATTCCAAGTGAGGATATATATGCATAATATTGGTTCAGAGAGTGCCTGAGTATAAATTGTGGGCTAAGGAGTAAAGGTGCTATTTGGAACATTATGACACTCAGTTTTCCCTAGATTAATGTACCAGTTGTTCAGAAATGCAAATGAAAAATATTTATTTATTTTTTTTTAAAAGATTTTGTTTATTTATTTGAGAGACAGAATGAGAGAGAGAGCACATGAGAGGGGGGAGGGTCAGAGGGAGAAGCAGACTCCCTGCTGAGCGGGGAGCCCGATGTGGGACTCGATCCCGGGACTCCAGGATCACGACCTGAGCTGAAGGCAGTCGCTCAACCAACTGAGCCACCCAGGCGCCCAGAAATGAAAAATATTTAATTAGTTGCTTTATAGTTTTAAAATTATTGCCTGGGTGGCTCAGTCAGTTAAGCAGCCAACTCTTGATTTCAGATCAGGTCATGATCCCAGTGTCCTGGGATCGAGACCCATGCTGGGCTTAGTGTTCAGCAGGGAGTCTGCTTGAGATTCTCGCTCTCCCTCTCCCTCTGCTCCTCCCCCCTGCTCTCTCTCTCAAATAAATAAATAAGTCATTACAGAAAATAAAATAAAACGAAAGTATTGCCCACACATGGTAAAACAAATTAAAGCAGCACAAGATATGCAATTAACAGTAAGCCTCTGTTTTCCCTTCCTGTACCTTCAATTCCACTCCCTAGAAGTAATTCTATCAGTAAATACATCATGGATGCTTTGGCTGCAAAAACCCCTACTAATCCTGGCTAAGTTACATGAAGTTCAGAAATAGGCATCTCAGGATTGGCTCTGTAATTCGTGACACAGTCAAGGAGCTACCCTTCATTTACTATATCACACCTCATTGTCACTGGGTTGCTAAAACAGCTCTAGGCAGTACCTTTTCAAAAGAAAGGCTCCTAAGCAGGAAGGAAAGGGGTACAAGCAGAAAGAGCTTTCTCCTCATGCACATCCTTGTTACCTGAGGAGGGAAATTCTTCCAGAAGTCCGAAGTAGACGTGCACTTACCTCTCATTTCCCAGGCAAGAACTGAGTCACTCACTCTCCTATCCTAGGCCACCAGAAGTAAAAGAAAATGAGATTGCCGTGGCTGGTTTAGGTCAATCAGGACTCACTCCCTGGGGCCAGGCACAAGGCTGCCTGAGCAAAATTAGCTTTCTGTTGGCAAGAAAGAAGGGGAATGGGGAATGGATACTGGGTAGGCTACCACTTGCAATCACCAAAATGAATATGGTTAACCATGTCTTAATATCTGCCCCAGAAATTTTCTATATATGTTTAAGTATTTTTTTAAGATTTTATTTGTTTGTTTGTTTGTTTATTTATTTGATAGAGGGATAGCGAGAGAGAGAGAGAGCACAAGCAGAGGGGAGAGGGAGAAGCAGGCTCCCCGCTGAGCAGGGAACCCAATGTGAGGCTCGATCCCAGGGTCCTGGGATCATGACCTGTGTGGAAGGCAGATGCTTAACTGACTGAGCCACCCAGGTGCCCCTAAGTAAATACTTTTTTTTTTAAGTAGATATGCTATATATATATATATGCTCATATATATGTATATGCGCATATACACACAAATATTCACACATTATACTTCCTTAAGTATCTTACATTTTTTTTAGATAAATGAAGTACTCTATGCATGGTACTTAACATAACTAGTACATAGTAAGTGCCTTTATCAATGCTGATTACTATTATTACTTTACCATTATTACTTATAGTCTTTGAGACAATATACAACTTTTTAGAAAAAGAATGAGGATCATTTTCTAGCAGATACTACATTTTACTTTTCCAGTATCTTAAAAAATTATGCCAGCACTTTTATTTTGGGATATTGAATACTCCTAAAGATATTAGCTGCATAGCTCCTTTAAAGAGAGATAAGAGTTACTGTAGTTAGCAGTGAATTCCATTTAAATACAGTGAAATAATTTTGTGAATAACAGCTAGGTGACTATATGTTGACTTTCTGATGACTATCTAGCCACAAATATTTTCTAATCTTGTTAGTATGCAGGCAGAAGAAGGTGGTATTAAACATTTTTTGTGTATTTGCACAAAATATCATGTTAGCAAGTATATTTTCCATTATTGACAGATTTTTTTGGAAGGAAGAATGATTTCAGCACTATTTGCCTAATTCATGATGCATGGAGAATGTGAGAGTTATTTGAGAAATTCTTATGGAGGAGGCCAATATAGATACTGCAAGTATTTGACATAACTTGTTGAAAGCCTAGAGAGAGGGAGCAGAGCAGGGAGATCTCCTGAATTATCCCTGACATAGCATCCTGACCAAGGATCTAAGGTAGGCTTGCACCATAGAAAGTCCAGCTTCAGATGGCCCTTCAGCCCATAGAAGCTGACCTCTCATAGTCCTTAAGGTCAAATTGCAAAATGGCTTGTCTTTAAGGTAAAAGCTATCGTTAAGTCCCATTTTCTCTTGTCTCATCATTTTTCCTAAAATGTGTGGCTAAGTATGAAAACATTATGATTATATATGACAAATTATATGATCTCTCAGACTTCATGTTCTTCTATTTCCAAAACAAAGCGAGTTAAATTAGATGATGACTAAGACCTCCTTCAGGTCTGGAATTCTAAGTTAAAAATCTGGGTTTCTGGAAGTGATTGGTCATCAGAATCACCTGGAGGTAGTTCTAAAAATACAGATTCCTACACACTCCTTTCAGATATTCTGGCTCATTCATTCCACAAATGATGATGGAGGGCTTGTGTTACATTCTAGGTTGTGTTACAGTCTAGGTCTAGTTACAGTGACAAATGCAATATTACCATCGTGCCCCAGTTGCTACAGAAACTGGGAT